TTTATCAATAATATATATTTCATCTAAACAAATGCAAAAGATATACAATAAATTATATAAAACATATAAGTAACTTTCTTTTATTATATTCACTGAAAAAATAATATTTAGAAAAAAGAATGATATATAATATATCAAAGTAAGAATTTAAAATAATAAATATACATGGATTATAATATTATAAACAAATATAATAATAAAAATATAAATTAATAGATCAATAAGTAATCAAAGATAATTAAAATAAAATAAATAAACATAATCGATAGATAAAAAAGATAAATTAAATGAAATAAATAAATACTACTAATGCAGAGATAAAACAAATAAACAAAAGTATTTCATAACTAAATATAAATTAAAAGAAATAATTAAATACGGTCAGTACATAATTAAAAATAAAATAAATAAGATCCGTAAAATTAAAACTAAAATTAAATAAAATAAGTAAACATGTTCAGTTGTAAACGGATATATATTACAAAATAAATAAGAAAAAACTATGTGTAACTGAAGATAAATTAAATAAAAAATAATAATTAAAAATAAGTTAAATAAAATAATATGTAATTCAAAATAAATAAATAAATGAATAATACAAAACACATGAATTTATTAAGATTAATATAAAAAGAGCTTAACATCTTACTCCCTTATTGACAGGACAGCCAATAATACTTTAGCTTATTATTAATATAAATTAATTGATTGACAGGACATCAATCAATTTAAGAAAAAAAGAAAAATAAAATAAAAAACAGATTCTCTAGGTTAAAATTTGATTGAAGCTACAAAACATGTACAGTACTCAATAAAGAAGAAACCAGACTGAAAAATTTATGACTGGAGGCAATGATCTTGTTTCCAATGGTGTGGACACCGAGGGATAGAACTCAAGGAGCAAGGTGCACTGCCCTCAGCATCGTGATTTTTTTTAGGGTAAGGAACGCCCACAACAGAGAAAGCAAAAGGAAGGAGATGAATCTTTGCGCAGGATAGAAGACCAAAACGAAGGAGAAGAAGAGAACGATCGCCATGTCATAATCTCTCAAATTAAATAAAAATTCCACGTAATAAAATATTTTGACATCAGCACATTAATTATGCAACACGTCAGCACCAACTAACGCCGTTTGTTACAATTTAACGGTTAGGGTAAAATTTGTTCATTTTTACAAAAAATATGACCCAATTGAGACAGAAAAAAACTTGAGGACCCAACTGAGATTTTCATACAAACTTGAGGACCAAGGGAGGGTTTAAACCTTGATATTACTACTCAAAATCTTATATCATTACCAATCAAGGATCTCTTTATAAGAGCAGAGTACCTTTGTTTGAGAAACCTGAGAGGAGATTATAAAAATATAATCCCATCAATGGATCAACAAGGCATGAATCAGTTGATTGCCCTAGTACTTGAACATTGTTCAAAGATAGAATGTCTTATTGATAACACTATAAATACTAGCACCAGTGTTGATTTTCGTCAAACTGAAGATGTATTCTCTACCCTTGTTTACTTAAGTTTGAGAGGTTTACATAACCTTCAAGAAATGTTTTGTGATCCCTGTTATCGATGTTCTCTCCAAAATTTAGAAGAGCTCTTGATAGAAGATTGTAGTAAATTCAACAACATATCCTTTCCCAAGAGCTCAAACCTATGCAATCTCAAGATCCTTTCAATATCTAAATGTCCAGTGTTAACTTATCTCTTCATGCCATCCATTGTACAAACTCTATCGTTGTTAGAGATTCTAAAAATATCTTCCTGTAGTGCATTGAGGCACATAATAGAAGAAGTGGAAGAAGAAAATTATGTACTTGCAAGCACTAAGAGACTCCAAAAATTAAGGATTCTTGAGATTGAAGATTGCAACAATTTGGAATATATTTTCACTATGATTTTGGTCCGAGGGCTAGTAAGTTTGGAAAGTGTGAGAATTGCTAGCAACATGAAATTGAAGTATGTATTTGGCAGTGAAAAAGAACATAATCTTGCAATGTATCAAAGTTTCCGTCAACAAACTCTAAATTTGCTCAATTTGGGCACTCTAAATTTGATGTTTTTACTAAATGTGATTCGCATTTGGCCTGAACATTGTCATTTACGTCTTCCAAGTCTTGAAGAGTCACTCATCATTTTTTGTCCTAAATTGTCTAACTCTTCCATACATATGGCGGAGACTGCTTCAAATCTTGAGCAACACACAATTTCAATGGTAATGTATTATTTCCAAATGAAAATTCTTTTAATTCATTAAATTTATAAAAAATAGTGAATTTTAAACATGTATTATCCTTTCTATAAAGTTTGTAATCACTATAGTTTCTGGAGTGATGTTTACATATACATTAAGAATAACATTCATATTGCATTAGTGTTTATATTTATTGTGTATCATTATTATAATTTATATTCTTTTTAAGTTTGAGTTGAAAATTGTATTTATAAGTTAACCATAATTATTTGAAATGGATAATCTTTTATCTGGTTGAACAAACAATGTTTATCTATTTCATTAATTATATTGTTATAACTTGTATTCATAGTTGTTGATAATCGATTTTTTTTTATTACTATAGTCACTTTATTTTTTTTTTTATGTTTTTCATATGATTAATTTTGCTTTTCTTTGTTTTTTCAATATGTTTTTAGGATTGCAGTGAATTGAACGACGTATATTTTTTTATGAACTCAAAGCTATGCAATCTGACAGTCCTTACAATATCAGAATGCCCTGTGGTAACTTCTTTCTTCGTGTCAACCATTGTTCAAGCTCTAGAATTCTTAGAGGTTCTAAGATTATCTCATTGCAGTACATTGACACACATAATAGAAAGAGGGAATGACGGTATTTTAAGGACTCGAAATCATTCTTCTTTAACCCTCTCAAAATTAAGGATTCTCGAAATTGAAGAATGCGACAATTTGAAATATGTATTCTCTCTATCTTTAGCCCAAGGGCTAAAAAGTTTGAAAAGTGTGAAAATAGTTGGCAACTCGAAGTTGAAATATGTATTTGGCAGTGAAAAGGAACATATTCTTATGTATCCGAGTTTCCAGCAAAATATTGTCACTTTCCACAAATTACAAAATTTGTTGGATTTCAACTTGAGCAAATTAACAAATCTGATAAACATTTGGCCTGAATATTGTCATCCACATCTCTCAAATCTTGAAAAGTTACATTGCACTTATTGTCCAGAACTGTCTGATTTATCTAAGGTGATGACGGTTTCAGATCTCGGCCAACTTACAACTTCAATGGTAATTAAATGACTTATATATATATATATATATATATATATATATATATATATATATATATATATATTTATATATATATATA